GGGAAAATCAAAACTATAGTTTACGAGCTATCGCTTCCCGAAAGTCAATACATTGATATCCCGTAGACAAACTCTTTGTCCACTGGATCAGCTCCACACAATATCCCCAACTTTTCCTTTCCGTCAGCTATTCCTCTCGTCATAACCTTTCGATTAAACAACTTTCATCGAAATCGAAGGTATAGTTTTCGAGATATCGCTTCTCGAAAAATCGAAACTAAGACAACTACACGCGCGCCCTCTCGGAACACCACTCATCAACACAAGAACCGTCACAAAATAATTAGATTATTATTACTTATTGGCTTTAAAGAGTGCATAAAATATTTTGTATACTATATTTGCATTTTATTTTATGCATGCTAGACTAGCATTGCTAGTAACTAATGTGATTGGAATGGGACAAACCTAAATAATTAACCAGCACATTAATATTAATTTTATATAAAATGTAAATCTATTATAAAAACTTAATATTTGTCAATAAAATATTGCATAGATAAATTGCTGGTTTATTATAGGTGATAATTTTTGTAAACTTTATTTTGTAAATATTTTTAATTAAAATATTTGTTTGTGTAATTATACTTTAATAAAATAAAATAAATTTAATAGATATAATCAGACATATAATTAACATTACAAATATAAAATTACCACGTTAAACAGAATTAGACTTTAAAACTAACTTCAATCCTAATTCATATAATAAATATTATACAAAACATTTTATGGTGGGATCAGATACGATGAGTATGTAATCAATTCATTAATTACTGTCATTGAATTACAAATAAGCTGTAAAATTTAATAAGATCAGAATGTTTGTTTAATAAAATATTACATTTATAACATAATTGGTTTAGATAAGGCTGACGATTTTTTTGAGTAGAATATTTTGTTTATAATTTATAAACACTATTAAAATTGTAAAATATAAGCTGAAAACATGTTAGATTAATTTTATTATAAGTTTATGAAATATCATATTGATAACTTGATGGAACTCAATTTAATGCAATCATTTTTGCAAAATGTAAGTATGGAAAATATTTTTAATTATAATTGCAAATGATTAAACATGGTTTGATTGTTACAAACTGTAAACACTTAATAAAATACAAATATTTGGATATAAAAAAATACATTTTTATAAATAATTGGAATTAAACTAGGTGTATTGTTTTTTGTGAATTATACAGTATATTGCCAGATACTTTTTCATTTACAAATGTATAATATTTTTGTAATATATTTATTTATATCAAAATATTTGCTTGTTTAAATTATAGAGATATAAATATAATACTGATAATTAAGATAAAATATTTACTATGTTTTTAAACACAGAATAATTATAAATCAATTTTAAATTCAAATTCATATAATAAATATCACACAAGAGATCATACGGTGAGATCAGATCAAATGATTATGGCATCACTACTCAGCCGACCATTCAATCAATGTTATCTCCGGACTCTCGAGGTATGTCTGTAACTGTTTGTCTAGTCGTTGACTCACCGGTTGCCACACATAGCCATCACCGGCGGGAACTGCCTTATCGTACGGCACCCGGCATTTCACTAACACAGTCAGGCATAGGCCGTCGTGGGCCGGGACGGGCACACCGTTGTGCTCAATGGACAGCACACCTGATGGGGAGTGTTGGCACATATCGTTTGAGCCAAATACTTGCTGTATATGTGCAGTAAATAACATGGTTAATTTTTTAATTAATAAACATTATGGTAAAAATAATATTAACCTTAATAAACATATCAAGTATGGTGTTTGGGTGGCTTTTGCGGCGGAGGGCACAGACTGGTAGGTGTGGGTGCGGGCGCCGGGAGACCAACACGTATCGGGGAATCATACCACGACTAATAACATAAATGTTAATTATCGAGATTCACAAATAAAAAATAATTAAAACAACAAACTTGGTCTCTTTGACCACTGTCAACACAATCCTCATAAGCATCTGATTGTGAGCCCGTATGGCCACCGGCGGTACGTTTTGGAGGGCCGGGCGTTCACTCACCCATACAGTGTTAATCAGGTCCACAGTACCATCTCTGCGAAAATTGTCCATGGCCAACAGCTCCGGGCGGGTAAACCATTTGGCACGTATTGATTCCCGATCTTCTAGGGTCTTGAGTTGGCCGCCGACTACACGGCCGGCGAACGTGAACCGAAATTTCATACCCTTTCCCCGCCCGGCGTTACTCTCGCTATCGATCACTACCAGCGCTGTCACCGCGATATCATAGCCCGACTCTTCGCGCACTTCCCGCCGCACGGCCTCCAGAAGTGGTTCCCGGGGTTCGGCTTTGCCCGCCGGCCACGTCCACAGTCCGCGACACTTGGCTTTGGACTCCTGGATGAGTAGCACATCACCGGTTCGGTCGTCAAACACAATGGCGCCCACCGTATAGTGTAATGTCTGGCCAACGATCGGTTCAAATGATGTGTTTGGTTTTCCTATTTATAAATATACACATTAATTGTTTAGTTTCTAATTATAACATTAGATGTGTTTCTCTATTGAGAGCTAACCGACAAAACAATACAATGAATTCAATTGAGTCACAAATCTGTGCCTCAATTAAT